GAACAAGATTCAAGTAAACAGAAGATGGCGATTGATGTTGCATTTAATTTTTGAGGATCGTATTTGAAAGGAGAGGAAGAAGCTCTGGCTCCACAGGTGGGGAAGGCGGAAGAAGATACTATTTGAATAGAATTTACGATTATATCTAAGAATATGCTGCCAATCGAGACTTATGCTTAACATGATTGATTGTTTTGTTTTTTACGGATTGTCAACCTTTCCTAAATTCATGAACTCGAGGAAACAAAGAGTAAAGCTCACCAGAACAACTGCCATGGAAATATTTATAGAAATGTTACAGGGAATCTCCGTTAGAACGGTGATAATGTGATTGAGACCGAGATGCCAGGTCAGGATCGATAACATTGCAGATTCTTCTTTGGATTTTCTCGAGAATGTCTAGATATATAGCAGAAGCAGCAACCCAAATGGAGCAGCAATAAACGGATGAAAGAGATACTTATAAACGTGGAAGATTGATTCTGGTCAGGGAAATTTTCTGGCAAAACCTAGTGAACTAAATTTCCTAGAGCAGATTTAGCCATTGCTTCTGTATTTATATCAGCGGGAAACATTCGAATGAGAAGTCGCAAAGAATTACTCTCCTGGGGGTTAGCATAAGACACATTGATGGAATGCAAAAAGGGTTATCTCAGACGTGTTAAAGTGAGCTGTCTCGTTGTGTGTTGTATACTCTTCATTTGGGAGAGGGATTTATTTGGTTTTATCTCGTCTCGTCTGGCCGATGATAGCTGCTCGTTTTAGCTCAATCATTTGTTTGCTCTTGGTCGGTTTCGTAAAATGTTCTTTGGGTTCCAGCACGAAATGCATCAACAAAGAGAACTTTTTTATTAACTGCGTCGACGGGTACAGCTTCCATCAAGTGGGAGTTAGTACATTCCTTCTTATTAGAGAACCGCTTTCAAACACGAAATCCCACACGTACATTTCATTTGACGTTTAGCAACCAACACTCGAAAAGGGGTTTGCATACGTCCAGTTAGGTCGACGTGAAACTCTTAATCTCTTCGTAAAACCTAAATCTATAACTCATTACTGCTCATTACTGAGTTTAAGTTTTCCCACCTAAACAAAAAGAAAAAAAAAGAAAGAAAAAAGTACAAATAAAATAAAAACGGCAAATATCTAAACCATAAAATTCTTAAGGAAAAGGGTTAAACTTAAGAACATTAAGATTACCTCCTCGGTTATCCATCGAAACTGCAATGCACCAAAATAAGAAAAAGAAGCTAGTCCCCACCGCGAGCCATTTAAAAGATAGTCCGCGCAGCGGATTGGTTGATACAAACATCCAATCGGATATGCGGAATATGTCGTCTGTCTTCGTCTAATTCTTTAAAAAGGCCAGTGTAACTGTGAGCGTTTGATTGAGATGAGGAATCGGGGATTGATCTTCCCTGATTGGGTCGATTTGGTGATGGGGAGTATGATGTTGAAAAACCCGAAACTCCCTGATGAACCGAGTCAAAACATCACTGACGAGCCCCTCGGTCGCCTACTTAAAAGAATATTTTTGAATTATTCGGCTCAGCCAATCAAAATCAACATCCTTATTTTGTCTACGATCTGACCTTAAAGGTTAACCTCAGAAGGTCTGAGCCAAAAGACACTAGCACTAAAAATAATAGTCTGAAAGTATCATTTAACACTATTTACTCAACCATAAGAAAATTCATTTATGAATTTTATTTCAACTATATTATATTTAACTTTTGGTAGCGTCACATTTTGAAAGCTAGAAAGAAGACTTTATATTCCTCATTTAGTGCACTGTTTTTTTGTACTGTGTTCGTCTGTAGCAAGTAATCTTAATTCTTTTGCCAATTAGAATATAAGTTTATTTAGAATAAAAATCTGGCCATTTGAAAGCAGTTTAGGTTAATGGCTGTATTGTAAGTAACGAAGCGCTTTGTTCCGCTGACCGCATTGCAAGTCAAACTACAGCTGACACATCTGACGTAGCAGCCCGTGTCGGTTGGTAAAGGGCGTCAATATCCAAGCCAAACGAATCGTGGTATTTTATTGCGTCTGTGTCGCTTTAGTTATTTACCACGTCAGATACATTTACGTCGCATTGCCGGAACATGATGGGCGGCGCTGTAAAACACTAATCCTTGGCCTCCATTCTCATTCCCAATGTCAGTCACGCACGAAGCAGATATATCCAATAAGCTAATCTCCCCATTAGACAGAACATGACATTCTCTCTTTCCCAGCTGTCAATTAGTGAGTGGGAAACGCAGTTTTTAATTGGAGATAATCAATCAACAACATCTAATCAGACAGGCGGTGATTAATGACGAAAAGTCTGTAAGTCGAAACCTTTTTGGTGGTTTACAAAATGCCATAATTTCTGTGTTGGTTGGTCGATTAGAAGAACGGCTACGTTCTGATTTTGTTTAAATGGTCAAGAAAAAAAATAGTGCCAAATTGGATTTTGTTTAGAGAAGATACCGAATGTACGGTTTTCTGTTTTAATTAAAATGTTTAGTCGAATTCGAAAATTTAAATATCTGGAAAGGGGTTTTTGAACAGATGGCAGCTAATGTGACACCGAAATTCGAAGTTGTATTGGAACAAGGAAAGATGCCTTCACGAGTGCGGAACTGGATTTTGTTTAAGGAAGATACAGAAATTGAATTCGAAAATTTACATATTTGGGAAGGGTCTGAACAGATAACAGAAAATATGACAGCGAAATTCCAAGTCAATAGGAATAGCGAACGATGGCTTTCCACAAAAAATTGCGAAATTGGATTCTGTTTAGGGTAGATACAGTCGGTATGTCAACCGATTAACTTAAGCAATCGTTTTTCAAGTCACGATTAAACAAAAAAAAAAAATCAATTTTCTATTTAAATTGATATTTTTATTCGAATAAGTTTACAATGATAAAAAAAAAAACTCCGAATGATTTGTTTTTGACTCCAGACAAAAAAAAGAAAGGATTTTAATGAATATTTCAGTGACATACACGATACGATATTCCAAACATTTACAACTGTTCTTGTGTTCGACCTTTATTTGAGTTAAGTCGAATGCCAAAGTCTAACTATATAGAACATTAATCTGACACAGGTTTAAACATATAATGGCAAATGTAACAACGAAATTCGAAGTCGTATTTGAATAGCAAAAAATGTCTTCTAAAAGTTAAGAAAAGAAAAGGGTGCTACGTAATAGCAGTCGTTCTTTATGGCAGTAGAAGCTGTACAATCTCCTCACAGAGATAAAAAGTGACTTTAGGCAAGAGAAATGTTGTTCTACAGAAGGATGCTGAGAATATCATAAACTGAATATCCGAGTAAGGAGTACGTTTTACGAAAAATTGAAAACAAAAAGGACGGAAATAATTAGAAATAAGTCGTTGAAATTTCTTGGAGGCCTAATGAGAAAAAGAAAGCTTGGCACAAGGCATATTGGAAGAAAGAGGAAGATAGGGAAACAGCGAATATCCTACTTAAAAAGCAGGTGCAAAAGGATAATAGCAGCTAGAAGGGATATTTAAAAACCAAACCTTACTAAGACCTACGAAGTATAGGAAGTTGTAGGGCGCTATGGTTGCCCCCGTCATGAATAGAAACGCCTCATAAAAGAAAGGAAGGGTGTGTAGTCAGAGTAACTGTTACCGTGGAATGTGAAACTGGTGAGCCGTGTTCTTATCTCGCTTTTTTTTTCCGAGGACATTAACTTTCGTCTTACTTAAATGGATGAATCCATTTTTCTCTCCCCAGGTATAGGTTAAATAAAACCTAGTTTCGGGAAGCAGCCAAACTAGTAGGTCTACTTTGAATTCAAGTCTGTTGAGAAAGTTACGAGAAACCACTGCACTGTCTGTGGAAATTTTAGCAATTCATAGATCATAAAGCGTCCTGGGTATGACAATAAACTACATCCGGCAGCAAGGCTTCTGATCGGGAGGTATTGAGGAGCGTGGAACCACCGCTTATTGCTGTTGTTCCCAGTCCCACCATGATCCGGGATGGTAGCACCTGTAAGCGTCCCAGCTATGGGAAAATAATGAACATCACAAACTGGGGTCAAAACACTATGAAGGTATAAAAATAGATTTTTATAGTAAAAATACCAGCAATAGATTTTTGGGAAAAAAATATTACCGGCAATGCATTTGACTCTCGACAAAAATCCTCTTTACGAAAATATGTCAACGAAACTGGATCTGCAATCGGATTTCTTACAAAGAATGCATATTCTATTCATACGAACCTATCCTAAAAATCTTGGCGGTATTAAATAACCCATTGAGGTTGATATCCTCTAAAACAAAAATAAACTAAGCTAAACAGAAAGTGGAGTATGTGGATCGCCTACGTGCTGAAGGGACATGACATTACTTGTCACATGCATGAAATCGATGAAAGCAATGTTTCATTTATTTGTAAAATGTTATATTTTAACTGCTAAAATTGTTTTTAAATAAATACCTTAAATATCGTTGGAGTTTTACATTGACTGAGTAGCGATTTCTAAGAAACAATGTTTTCTCATTTAATCATGATGTGTTTTTGTCGTATTTATACAAAGTCACCTTTCTTGAGAAAATATTTTTTTTATTTGAGCGAAAGAGATATTTTTCTTAATTGCTTTTATTGACAAAAACAGTGTTTCATTTATCTGCTTTATTTATGATCCCGTTTTTGAGACCAGGAACTTTGAATATCGGCTCAGAAATTGAAATTCGGAGATCAGAGTTCAACTTCCAGACAAGCCTGTTACGTTCACTTTTACATGAATGCCTACGGGGAAAGTATGAATAAGTTTTTATTTATTTATTTACTTACATCACCGCATTTATGGATACAATAGTGGATGAGATTAAGCTAATTCCAGAGAGAAAGGAAATTTTGAATTCAAGACCTTGGGGAAGTTTATCGTCGGTCCGAATTCAAATTCCAAACTTTCCAAACACTTGCGCACAAATGCCTTTCGGGAAGATATGAATACATCTCTCCAATGGCTTACGGCCATATCACATTGAAACAGCGATTTCTGTACGATAACCGAAGTTAAGCAACGTCGTGCCTGTTCAGTACCAAGATGGGTGACCGCTTGAGAATAGCAGGTGCTGTAAGCATAAATCTGTGGTTGATTTAATGGATAGGTACTCGAAATTGTTCCAATTACAGTCGGCTTCTTTATATTCACTTCCGCGTAAACACCCTTGGGAAATTTAGGAACCTACCTCCTCTTGTCGCGGCTATCGGTTAATTAGTATAACTCTTTTCTTAAATGATTATTAACTTAAAAAAATTATCGCTAAAAATATTCTGTGGATTTAAATAACCAGGAAAAAGTTCATAGGCGAATCAATCGAATCGATTCTTTCCCTGCCAGCAATAGGATAGGTAGTCAGAACACTCTAGCCTTGGATGTTAGCCAGTCTAGAAGAAGGAATTCAAAACCGTAGAGACGTCAACAGGAAACCAATCCACTATATTTCCCTAGAATTCTCAAATAATAAAGAAAAGAGATATGCAGAGAATCGCGATCGCCTTCACATTGTAGAGAAATGATATTTATTTTTTAAAAAAGTAATTTTTACATTTTCAAGTCATGATTAAAGCATACATTTAAATTCAAACTGAGCCCACATAACGGGAAACCATTTTGTACAAATATTGATATTAATTGGGGTTGATTAGAAAATTCTTAAATTAAATAAATACAGTAATTTGTATACACTGAAGTAGCAAAAATAAAGTGTCACGGCCCTCCTCGCGCTCGCTGTAGTATGCGACATATTCTGCATGGTGAGAAGTCCTCTAGTGCTGTTTAGATAGCCATGAATATTTACCCTATTTCTAGTTCCACATGCCATGTCTCATGGATGTCAGTTAACAGTTATCTGCTGTTAATTCCCCTCTCCAAGTTCTCCACCGCCTTAACCAGGAATTGAACTAACACTCTTAACCATATTTACCAAGAATTCTTGGCAATTCAGAGATAGTAATGAATAAGATTCTACAGAGAAACATCAACTCCGTTCGGGAGAGTGATGACATTAAAGAAAATTGTAGTATGCCTGCAGCACCAAAACGAGTTTGAAAATTGAAACGCATATAGCAATATACAAATCATATTTCTGATCACGTATCATCTTGCAGGAAAAAATTCATTTCATTTTGTTAAAAAGCTTTAGGATTAAATAACGACTTCCATATGAAAATGACAGTTCAAATAAATATTTTTATGAACAGTTTACGTCAAGAAATGTCTTTCCTCCCACATTACTGCAGTTAGCAAAAAGCATATTCAATATCTGTATAATTCCTTTAACAAACATTATTATATACTTAACACTTGCCACATGGCTCTCCACAACTTCCCATCCTATGTATCTCTAAACAATATTTGCCCTTTTGTTATCTCACCCTGTGCTTGTTCTGCTATTCATTTACACAAGCCCTTCAGAGAGGTAACTTTTTGTTTTCCTCGCTGACTGTCTTCAGTATGAACCGTGTATGTTTCCTGGCTTATTGTTCATCCCAGAATTTTCAACTTTATCTTTCCGATTCTAGCTACAAGTGCCCTGTTCGTTTCTATTTCCTTTTAAAACTTACACGTTGGTCACATGGTTTGCCCGTAGTATTCTTAGCAGTCATCGGCAGAATTAGATCTCTAGCGCTTCAAGTTTCTTACATAGATCCACCTATCGACGGGTTCAAATCCCTCTCCGGTCTTTTGAAAAGGAGTAGAGGTTCATCCCTTCTTTCCTGTTTAGGATTGCGTTTCTGGTTCCTTCTAAAGTCAATTTCAACCTCTATACTTTTGACCTTTCAGCCTAAACGCTGAAACATTATTTAATATACATATTTTTATTTATTCATTATTTTATTATTTAGGTACATCTATCATCCGGTTCACACCCCTCCCCACACTTTTGAACTGTTAAAAGTGTTAATTTTTAAAAAGAAATAAATATATGAGTAATAACAACTTTAAAACTATCATTAATTTATTATTTAATTTCTGAGATGAATAATTGCCAATATATATATACATTGTGGCGTACTGGATATAGGAGTTGGGTAGATATATATTACTAGTGGTCGTAAGTTCAATCCCTGAATCAGGTAGTGAAAGTTTAGATTAGAAGAAACGAACAATAAATATCAGCACAAGGACAAACAACATAATAATTTACGGACATCCCGTATCAGCCAAACAGTGTACATCTGATGATGACCACAAGGTTTTGCTCGAAACGTTGTACCTGTAATAAGATCGACATCAACCAACACGAGAACAATACTTCGAAGGTATAAAAAAAAGTATGGAATATCTTGCAATTATTTTATCAACTTTCCCACGGTTTATTCATATAGTAATGGAAATATTGGTTTCATTTTGATCGATTGACACATTTTTACGGCTTATCAACCCTATACAGGTTATGTAAAGCCAGTAAATATTTTTAGATTGTAAGAATTTGTGGGGTGGGGAGATAATAATCGTTTAATGATATAAGTCTTACTACTTAACTCATAGCTGGGAGAAGAGGTTGGTGGATACCATTCCCAAGAGCATTTGCGTGTCAGTGACTATAAAGAACCCAACCAGAATTGGAACTCAGCCCTCCGATTTCCAAGCTCACTGCACCTGGTATTCCTAAGCGGTCAGACATCGAGATACTGACCAGGCTTGATATTTCTTAACTTATTGGTAACGCTGTATCTCATCATGTATCGAGGAGGCTTTGTGGAGAGAACGAAGGAAAATAAAATATCAAAGTACCGGATGTTAGTGCAAAATTGTCCAAATCGTGTCACAGCATATAATTGTCCATCCCACAAAATGTTTAATATCTAAAAAAACACTAAACTAATTGAGTTCTTTTTCAGGTTTTCAGATGAGACATTTATCCATCTTGACATCAATTTTTGTAAGGACCATTGAGAAACCCTTTGAGTTATTCAGCTAAAAAGAGAGCAGGTTAAAATCGCTTTGTGTCAGTTCGCTATGTCTTCCCAACTGAACAATGGTGAGAGGAAAAAGATCATTCAGGACTTTAGTAATGGTACCAGTATTCAGAAACTGGCTTTATCTTCAAAGTCCATTCAAGAACCATCAAGAGAACGGTGAATAAGTTTTAAAAAAAGGGGGAACAGTAGAGAGGAAAATTAGATCAGGAGGTCACAACAGGAAGGTAGATCATCATTTCAACTTAGTGTTAAAGAGATCAATTTGAAAAATCCAACTCAATTCATAAGATGTTTGGCACGCGAGAGAGGATTTCAGCTATGACAGTCCAAAGAGAAGTGAAAAAAGAGTTGAAAATGAAATCGTACGTGAAACGTGTGAGGCATCTTGGTACTCCAGAAAAGAAGGTTAGAAGGTTAGAAAGGGCTAAGATCATCGTGAAAGATTTGGAAAATGATCCTGGATTATATATATATATATATATATATATATGAAATTTGTGGGAAAGTGTATGTGATCTGGACAACGTCCAGATCATATACACTTTTCCCACTCTTAGATGTAACGGCAATATCGAAAGGCATTACAAAGTCGTCGGAAGGTTGATAGTGCTGACAGTGTTGTGGCGTGATTTCGCAGTGGAGGCTTGTATTGGTACTAAGTCGGTCCTAAAATAGGTTCGACGTACAAAACGTTAGGAACTTGATATAATAAGTATTACGCAGAGTAATCTAGTTGTGGTCGCTGATACTTTAGTATTCCACTAACTGTCGTCTGACATCGACTGACTGACCGACTGACTCGTTACTCTTACTATTCCTACTTATTATAGGTGGGAGAGTCTATTTTACTATAGAATAGGCGTGTTCCATTATAACAGACAGCCAGCGCCTTTGGGGATCCAATCTGGATCTTCCATCAGAGAAAAAAAATCAAACACGGTCTTAAAATCAAGATTTTTTTCTTTTTCCTATATTAACTGCATTTTCATGGTTGAGGAGATAGATTTACCCGAAAAAGCTGGTTATGAGGCGCCAGTGGTTCGCTTACGCCCGTACTCCGGTGTGGAGCTTGAATTAGTTGTCCGAGCGTATATGAGATACACATCATGGGAGTGTTTTTTTTTGGGGGGGCGGTTATAGACAGGACAAGATTGTCTCCACCACTACCCCCAATTATCCAGAGAGTAGAGAAATAAAGAATCAAAACCATCCTTGGAAGATGTTGAATCAGAATATGTAAGGGTGTGGGGGTTTAAATATTGTCGTTTTAAAGCTTAATCCGGGCACGCATACACACATACATATGAACGAAATACATTTATTATCGAATAGATTAGAAAAGAACAGCTTTAAATTGGATTTATTGAACTGATATTGAACTGGGAAATAAGGAAATTGAACACTGAGCCTTGAGCCTAGAATTCTTAAAGGTTTGAGTAACCTTTTGGTATGTGTTTGATTCCATGACGTTTTCATTTTCCCACTTAAGTGGTATCAACTTCTGGATGAACTCACGACTTCAGAGTACTTGAGAAATATGTTACTGAATTTTTATTATCTGTTCATATCTCTGAGATCAGATATTATGATTATTTACATTATACGGACTGTTATCCTCATCTTCGTTGCGATATTCACAACGTTTCGACCGTTGTACGCTCCGGCTTTTTTCCGGTGATTGGAATTTCGAACCGAAACCTTTATTTCATCTACCGGGGTAGATTGTTCTAGTTCCACATGCCATGCCTGTTCCTGATGTCAGGCTTATTTTTTTTTAGTAAACTCTCCAAGTTTTGGTTCAACATTACTGTAACCAGGTATTGAATTCACAACTCTTTGGATCTAGTCACTGGATCTAACCAACGCCTTTATCCACTGGGTCATGTGTCCTTGCGGAAGAGGCATGACACGTGTAACTAGAACAATTTACCCCGATGGACGAAATAAAGGGTTCGATTCGAAATTCCAATCACCTGAAGGTGGCCGGAGCGTACAACGGCCGAAACGTTGTGAATATGGCAGTGAAGATGAGGATAACAGTCCGAATAATGTAAATACTGTAAGTGATTTTTCATTGTTCATTCATAGAAATTCTTTTTAGACTTTTGTGGGTGCAGGGTTTGACAACGATCACGAAATATCTGTAGATTAACGCAGTAAGGAAAAGCTTACCTTAAAAGGATCGTAACCGCATGTTTTCGCAAAAGGTTTTACTGATTCCCCGTGATAAAAAGAAAATAGGTTTTTCGTTCTCAAGGTTATTTTCTCGCTATGCTCGCTGAAGCGGATATGATATTTGGGGACACGAGAAAAAAAAAAAAAGAAAAGAAAAAAAAACAAAAAAAAAAAAACAGGTTTTGTAAATCATTTCCAAAGAATCTAATAAAAATACGGCAGACATTTTAAAATCATTTTACCGAATGCTATTACTGATTTTTCCCCCGCCAGATAGAGTTGAACCTTTCTTTAATAGAATAAAAAGATGAATGAAATAAAGTATTATAAATGTTTCTCAAAAAATAATATACAAGATAAGGAAATAAGCAGCTCCATATCAAACTTGATTCATCGTTGCAAGCTGATCTTTGAAATGAGAACCTCAATTTCGCACGAACTATAAGGACATGAGCTTCAATCGGTCAGTTTCAAATTGATGAAATCATTGATGCTTCCGACATCCAGGCAACCATTTTGGGAAGTTGGGGAAAATTGTCAGAAGCTTTTGGTCCGTTTTTCTATGTTTGACATTTTTGTGGCTTTGAGAGTTTTTCATTTTTTTCTTCCTTCTTCTGTATTTCATTTCTTCTTCTTCTTCTTCTTCTTCTTCTTCTTCTTCTTCTTCTTCTTCTTCTTCTGCTGCTGCTGCTGCTGCTACTACTACTACTTCTTCTTGTTTTGTTGTTCTTTTATTGTGATCACGTTACCGTTGGTGTGAAGTTTTGTCTGCTATTATTAGTTTTTTCTTTGTCTACTTCTTCTTCTTCTTCTTCTTCTTCTTCTTCTTCTAATAATAATAATAATAATAATAATGATAATAATAATAATTATTATTATTGTTATTATTATTATTATTATTTCGTGTTCCCGTACGCTGTTGTTAGATTTTCTCTTTCATTTCTTTTGTAACCCGTTCCTCCTCCTCCTCCTCCTTCTTCTTCTTCTTCTTCTTCTTCGCCTTCTTCTTCCTTATCCTCTACCTTCTTCTTCTTTGCCTTCTTCTTCTTTGCCTTCTTCTTCCTTCTCCTCCACCTTCTGCTTCTTTCTTATTCTTGCCTTCTTCTTCTTTTTGCTTTCTTCTTCTTCTTCTTCTTGTCTTCTTCTTCTTCTTTTTTTTCTTTTTGCTTTCTTCTTGCTTTCTTCTTCTTCTTCTTGCTTTCTTCTTCTTCTTTTTTATTCGTGGTCATCATTGTTTTCCTGTTTGGTTTAACCTTAATCTTCAAATTTGTTATTAACTGATTCTTTTCCTTTTTCATCATCACTCTGTCTTTTTTTTTCCCCCGTTCTTCCTCATCTTCATCATCAATCCTATTTTCATATTCTACAAGATTCTCTGTTACTTCAGCATTCCTTTATCATTTAATCTTCCTCTATTCTTGGCTCAGTTTTTCACCATCCTGAAAGCATCTTCTCACATAAAATAAAAATAAAAGAATATTTAAGAAACTGGAACTGGAAAACGATTTTGACATGCGAAAACGCCATTTTTCCAGCTGTTATTTGCTTAAAAATCGTGAAGTCTCTGAAAATAATTTTCAGATTTCTTTCCCCCTTTTACGAGTTTCTTTTCTTTTTCTGTTCATCTATGCCAGAGGCTCGCTGTCCTTTCTGTTTTATTTTTCTTTACAAGTCTTATTATCCTGGTATATCTACTGCTGTTGTAACAAATTCATCAATTGAAGAGAAGCAAGGTGATCCATCAAAGTACAGAGGATTGTGGGAAAACTCAAATTGAAAAAAAATAGATAAACACAACGGAAGTAAGAGGACCTGGGAAAAAAACTACAAGAAAGAAAAGCAGAAAAGAAAAAAGAAAAGAAAAAGAGAGACTGTAAAATAGTAAAGAAATTAGGACGCTCAAAACATTTACGGTTAGTCCGACGGACCTATGGGTGGGAAGTGGAATCGGGAGAATCGAGTTCAAATTCTGGGTTAGGCTGCTGCGTTCACTTTCGCAGAAATACTCATTGGAAAAGCAAGGATCTATACTCTCGTTAATCTAGGGGATAAAAGATATATAGACAGGGCTAATGGAATGGAAACTTTGAATTCCAAACTGCGGGGAACGAATCTAGAAACTACTCCACTATCTTTCCAAAGAATAAATGAAAAAAAATTAAAAACAGAATAAGAAATGTATGGGAAGCCAAGATTATCTTTATCCTGAAGGGCTTATGGCCTTAAGAAAGAAAGAAAGAAAGAAAGAAAGAAAGAAAGAAAGGAAGGAAGGAAGGAAATGATAGAAAAATGAGTGAAAGTCTCCAGTGAGTAAAATATAGTAGTGATAAACGAATTTCTATTGTTTTAATCTCTATTTCTTATTTGTTTTACTTCAAATATAATATTCAGTAGTTTTCCTAGTCTACTGTTATCGGTTTTCCTGTATTAATAGGAACTTCCTAATATTTTGTTTCAAGTAGTCACTACTTCTTTCCACATTGTAGTGTGTACTTTTGTTTGAAGCACACACTACTTCATTTTGCATTTCAGTGTGTACTTTTATTTGAAGTACACACTACTTCATTTTGCATTCCAGTGTGTACTTTGTTTGAAGTACACACGACTTCATTCCACATTTCAGTGCGTATTTTATTTGAAGTACCACCTATGTCATTCCGAATTCCAATTTGTACTTTTATTTGAAGTACACACTACTTCATTTTGCATTCCAGTGTGTACTTTTGTTTGCAGTACACACTACTTCATTCCACATTTCAGTGCATACTTTTATTTGAAGCATACACTACTTTCATCCATCTTTCAGTGCGTATTTTATTTGAAGTACCACCTATGACATTCCAGTTTGTACTTCTTTTTTGAAGTACACACTACTTCTTTTTGCATTCCAGTGAGTACTTTCGTTTGAAGTACACACGACTTCATTCCATATTTCAGTGCGTATTCTATTTGAAGTACCACCTATGACATTCCGAATTCCAATTTGTACTTTTTTTGAAGTACACACTACTTCATTTTGCATTCCAGTGTGTACTTTTGTTTGAAGTAGACCCTAATTCATTCCACATTTCAGTGTATACTTTTTTGAAATACACAAGACTTCATTCCGCATTCCAGTGTGTACTTGTCTTCTGCATAAATATGGCAGTTGTTCCCACTATAGTACCTCGACCGCATGAAATCAAACGTGCTGCTGGACTGGCAATTAGATCTCATCTTTTTGCTGCTGGAATAACTAGATGTAATCGTCAGTTTTATTCTAATTGTTTCTGTTCTTGCACTTCTCACCTGTTTGAATCTCTTCCGTTTTCTTGTTTCCTTGTTACCTACAATCTTGAAAAAAATCAATGGAACATCAGTCACCATCTTCTGTCTTCCTGGATGCAGTGTTTTTTATTGTCCTTTCTCCTCACTAATGTTTTCTCATTATCTTCTATTAGTATTTACCCCTTTCGTCTTAGTGGCATTACAGTCCCGTTTGAGGTGAAATGATTGAAAACAAAAGAAAGCTAGTCGCACTTTTAAAATATCAGACACAAAATTGGTAGGTATTACACATATCCATTTTGTTTTAATGTGGTATCAGCCATTTATCTGCCATGCGTGATACGTGCTTAGGCGATCATATATCTTTCGATACATGAATGACGAGGTAGATTTTTTCCCGTCGTAGGTTACCTATTTCTCTTTGCGGTAAACCAGTTGCCATCCAAGGCTATAGAACCCAGTCTGTCCTGCTCCATACATGGAGGGAGAAGAAGAGGATTCATACCTTTCCCAAGGGTATTATTACGTAAGTGAATGTAATGGATTCGACTGGAATTCGAACTCGGCTCTCTGATTCCTCAATCCGAGCCGCTATCCATTACCCCATCGTATGCGTGAATTTGTGCCTACCTTTTCATTCCATCAAGTGACCGGTACACTTTTCTACAAATCTAGTATGAATTGTTAGCATTTAATATTATTTCGTAGTTTGTCTCTGATATGTATCTCATATATGCAAGATGTCTACAACCTCATAGCAAAGTAAGACCGTCACAAGGTGTTACGTGTATAAAATATTTTAAGTGGAGAAAGACTTTTCAATGGCACACTCCAAATCAATGAGCAAGAATTGTATGCCCACAAAAAGAATCTGTCAAACTGCAGGTGTTACATCAGTGTTTTCTTAGTTGGATACTTTAACAAATTTTAAGGGAAAACGCAGCGCGTCCGTGCGCCTAACCAGATATTTATACATCGCCACGCCTGTGATAAATAGCCCTTTATCCCATGCAAGTATTATTCTGTTGAATGTTTAGACAACCTTTTCAAAAGAAAACCGATGAACCGCCGATATTTGGATCATTAGGTAGGTTAATGTTGTGACCAAGTAAATGCTTAAGAAATAACAAAACTAGGGTTGCAAATATATCATATATTAAACAGTAAGTACAACAGAAGAGAATTAAACGACTAGTGAGTGTCGGTTGACCCGTTGTTCAATATATTCGACTGTTATATTTACCAGCCTCCCCACGGGGTAGGATGTGGCACAGGGACGAGTTTAATGTGTGGTAATCCGAGCCCGTAGGCTTGGCCAAAATTCCCCATAGACCCCGTATAAAACGGGGTCGGGTAGCTGTTTCCCGAGACGAGATTCTGCCCTTCGACATAGCCTCGTCTGGGGATCCTCGCTTACTGGAGGCAGAGACTTTAACCATCACAGCTGGAATAGATCTATTTGATTGGTAATATTTAACAGCCCCCCCCCCAGGAATGTATGCGGTACAAGGCCGAGTTTACCGTGGGTTCTCCGAACCTGTAGGCTCGGCCAAAATTATTCCCGTAGAACCCGCATAAATGGGTACAGGTCTGTCTACCTACCCGGACGAAACTTTGCCCTTCGGCAAAGCTTCGTCTATGTTTCTCTCTGCTCGAGGCAGACTGTTCGACAGTAACGAACAATCTATGCGACTGTTGGTATTTAACAGCCCCCCCCCACCACCACCATGAGGAATGTATATGGTACAAGGCCTAGTTTACCGTAGGTTCTCTGAGCCCGTAGTCTAGCCCCAAAATATTCCATTAGAACCCGCATAAACGGGCTCAGGGCCCATTCACCTTCCCAGACGAAACCACGTCCTTCGGCAAAGCCTCATCCGGGCTCCTCCCTTCCAAAGGCAGAGAGTTTTACAGCAGCCGCGGTCAGCCACAGCCCGATAGAACAATCTATTCGACTGTTCCCCCAAGGCCTTATCTCCTACTAATCTTATAGTAGGCGGTAGAGTCCACCATAGATTTTTTAGAGGGAGGACACCACAACAGTTACCAAGGGAGTGACCTGACCTACCTTCATAGATACATGCGTAGATATATGCATATCTGTGCGTGTGAGTGTAAAAAAAATTGTAATTTTTTCTACATGTTTCGACGAAGTACCAGCTTCATCAGAAAATTATTTTATTTATCAAGAACAGAAGCAGCATTAACAAAACATCGTTCATATTAAGCTACTGAAAGGATACTTTTTTTTTTAGTTTAACCTTAATGGTGCTCAGGCACATTTGTGTTTGTCAAACACCCACGGAGTTCACCTGTGGTTTATACTGATCTATACTGAGTTATCTAGCGTGATGAACAGATTGAACAAGGACAGCACACTCAAGCCCTCGGCCACGATGAACTGTGACTTCGTGGTAGCACAACCACCGACGGCTTCCAAGGGTTCCGTCTACCCAGTTTCACACACAAGGCTTGGGTCAAGCCGGAGTGTGGTTTTCAGGCACTATCCAAAGCGCATCTTCCAGACCGATAACATCAAGAAGACTATAGGCCTACCCCGGTCATATAGATTCGATCCCACCTATCTGCTTCTCTGGGACATCTCCGTCTATGGCTGAACAGGGCGATGGGCGAGTGGCAGTCTCACAACTCACACCTGTGAATTTTCTGTTTGTTGTCTATGCTGTAGCGTTCTTTTCTGTGCTTCCGCTTATCTTCTGCTGCGTTGCTACGGTCAACAGCAAAAGGTTCTGATATATATATATATATATATATATATATATATATATAAATATATATATATATATATATATATATATATATATATGAAAAAAAATATATGAAAAAAAAAACGAACAAAAATCCTTATATACAATTATGCGGTTTTTTTTGTCTTCTTTGTCATGTTGTATTGATAATGTTATATTTATGAATATGTCCTGAAGATAGTTTATTAGACCGAAACGTCCGACGTTGACATATTAACATTAAAACAGCATAATTGTATATGAGGATTTTTGTTTGTTTTTTCCGTATATATTTTTTCTTCATACTATCGGATCTATATCCATATATTTGCTTACATATATATATATATATATATATATATATATATATATATATATATATATATATATATATATATATATATATATATAAATGCATATTTGGGCAGGAATCCTTCATTTTTAGATGTTTCATTAAACACGACAGACAAGATACTATGATTAAGCTTTTTTATTTAATTTTTCTTGTTTCGCTAGAAGTGTTTTATATATTCTACGAGAACGCCTAGGAATGGGAGTTTTTTTTTTTTTTTTTTGACTAAGTTCGTAGGTAAAGTTAAGGACAGAGTCTTTTCAAATGACTTTACCTATGCACTTAGTCAAAAATGACTTAAAATTTTGCATTTAAACAAATACAGATCTGATCCATTTTGGGGCATAAAAATTAAATGCATCGAATCTGAAAAATTAAAAAAAAAAAATAAAGAAGTTATAAGAAATCAAAAAATGATTACATTTATGGGACGAAATATATATATATATATATATATATATATATATATATGACAGTAGCATCCGCCAGTCATCAATGACCATGAATTTGATGCCACCCATTTGTTCCTCTGGGACATCTGCGTCTGAACAGGCTGATGGGCGAGTAGCAGTCTCTGTCACACATTCACACCTGTGAATTGTGAGTGTATTTTCTATGCTGCAGCGTTCATTTCTGCGGGTCCTCCTGTCTTCTGATGCGTTGTTCAGATTATCCTCTCCTGACATTAGTTGTTTAGTCAGGGTGCTTCTCCACCCAGAACTGTTAGTAGCAAGGACACTGTTGATCTCATTGTTCACTGTTGATCTCAAGGACCTTCATGTCCCTCTTACATACATCTCTATAGCGCAACTGAAAGCGACCAGTGTCTCTTTTGTCATTTGCAAGTTCCCGGTATAGGACATCTGATTTCGGCCTTCCTCCATACGGCGAACATGACCCAGCCATCGTATCCTCTGCTGTCTGTGAAGAGAGACCATGGTTGTTATTCAGGCGCGAGACAGAAAAGTGTTGGGCCTTTTGTTCTTCCACGACATGCCCAAGATACGGCTGATACACCTCAAATGAAAAGTGTCTCTTCTCCTGTTCGACATATGTCGTCCATGTCTTGCATCCGCAGAGAAGTGTGCATATGACGCCAGCATTGTAGACTGCCATCTTTTTCTTGACAGAGGAGTTACCTTACTGACAAATCGACCGTGGTGAGATTCGAACACGAGAACTCAGAAAGTGGACGTTCTAACCACTCGGCCACGCACCAATATACTTTAACACAATCGATGTAGAAGGAAACTGAACATAGAATACGCTGCGCCAGAGTTATTTTCATCCAACATCACAACTTCCTACGAAATGAAAAATCTTATTCGAGATCCACGACTCCTATTCTTAAATAGTCCCATCAGATCAAAACTTTCATATGGATGTCATGCATGGTGTCAATTTTGTTCAGAATTATCTAAACGGTCGGCTTTATATAACCGATTTCTAATATTAATGATTTAAAATGGCTTCCAGCGAGGATCTTGGCGAAGACATTGTAGACTGGCGCTACAGAATCACAAATAAAGAACTGTACTAGATAACGGAATCTATATTATCTGAGGATTTCACCAGCAGCAAAAACTCAGATGGATAACACATGTAACTCAAAGAGAAAATAATGACATAATCGAGATGTCGACATTCCACACTACCTCAAACAAAAGGTTAGGAAGGAAACTCCCATCAATACTAGAAAAAGCGATAACAGTGACTTGACACGAGAAACTTATTTTAAGAAAAAAATTGATTTACAAATATTTTATACATTTCAACCGATATCAGCACTGGTTGCTCGGTCAATGAATGCCGAATGTTTCCTTATGAGGAAACGGCTGATATTACCATTATATTGTTTTAGTAGTACAATAGTGAAACTACTTTTTTCTGATAATGCTGAACGATAGGCGAAGAAACTCATATGCTCGCTCTACTTTGCACGCACACACGTACACATACACATGTGCATTATTGTATCAGAAATAATTAACATTTTTTATTTGCTATTTTTTATGGATTATCAACACTTTGTTGGTTATTTAAAGCCGTAACATATTTAGGATTGTGGGAGATCTCTTAAAGTACCCAGTTTACCTATGCACTCATCTAGGTACTGAACAAGTTCGACACTGCTTAACTTCGGTAATCGAACGATAACCGGTGTTTTAAGCATAGCTTGAGCCTAGCCAGAAGTCATTTATATTTTTGAAGATCAAACTATATAAATATATGTTAAATTACAGTTTGAGTATCTTAAAACAGTAATAAAAATATATATAAATTAAGTTACCTCCTTTAATGCTAATTTTCAAAGTGACTGTAACGGGGTGCGTTTCATGCGCATTTACAAAAAAATCACAACTTTCAATTAAATTACTCTTTTGTATTAGTAATTCCCCCATGAAGATGATCTTAGATGAGATTTAAAGTACTTGGGAAAATAAAAGGAATGAGAAAAACTACGGCGTCTTTTGTAGTTTAATAACAACGCTAAGAAATAGATGCGTGAATTTCAGAGGATTAAAATAAAAATAAATTGAGGCAATATGTCTAGATTTCTTATTCAACCAAACATGCTTGAATGAAGCTACGCTAAACAAACAACACACACACACACACACACACACACACAAACACACACACACACACACACACATATATATATATATATATATATATATATATATATATATATATATATATATATATATTAGATCAAGGAGAAAACAATTTCGGTTATAATTTATTTCGTGAATATTTCTAAATCATACTTATTACAAAACCCAAATGTGTGTGTGTGTGTGTGTGTGTCTGTACGTTTACATATTGGATCGGATTTCCTACATTTTTCAACCGATTTCAACAAAACTTCACAGGACTACGTAAAATTATCTTGCGGTGGTTCTGACAGCGCCAAAAATTGGAAAAACACAACTGTCTTTGCACGAAATCAATTTGAAAACGCGATTAAGAGGCATCACTGTCGCCAGAATGAAAGGGGGACAACTCATATCGAGTTATACTTATTATAAAACCCAGGTTGTGTGTGTGTGTGTGTGTGTTCGTTTATATATGGGATCGGATTTCCTACATTTTTCAACCGATTTCAACAAAACTTCACTTTTTTTGGCAGGTAGTGTTTCTTATTGTCTTGCAGACTTTTTTCTTTATTTTTGCATTTAGAATGCTTTAAAAATTCCATTTACATGTCAATTGTTTATAATAAAATTCTATTCAATCGGTAGACTCATAACGATTGAAAAATATTGTTTTTGTTTGAGTTTGACCAATTCGTAAAAAAAAAAAGAAAAAAAAAACCTAATTAAGACATGCGTGTCCGTCGGCTATTTCAGACCTAAAGTTCTTAATCAATTGAGATAATTTCTCCGGACAGATAAAATAGATTAACAGGAGAAAGGGGGAGCAGGAGAGTTGAGAAGAGAGAAGGAAAAGAAGAAAGAAAAATAACATTATACAGTTGTTTTTAAAGCGTGAAATAAACAGGGATAGATAGATAGATAGATATAGATAGAGAGAGAGAGAGAGAGAGAGAGAGAGTTAAGGAAGGGACAGGGAAGAAGGAAGAAATGTAGGGATAGTGGTAAAACTAAAATAAAAGACCTGGCTAATTTTTCTTTTTCTTAAAATGTGAAAAAATTTGTACATCGAGTGATACAGCAAATTGACTGATGTGCCCTGTTATTTTAGGCACGACAAATCAACACAACTAATAAAGACCTGACTAAAAACAGTAGTAGTAGTAGTAGTAGTAATAATTATAATATCAAATAGTAGTAGTAGTAGTAGTCATAATTATAATATCAAATAGTAGTAGTAGTAGTAGTAGTAATTATAATATCAAATAGTAGTAGTAGTAGTAGTAATAATTATAATATCAAATAGTAGTAGTAGTAATAATTATAATATCAAATAGTAGTAGTAGTGGTAGTAATTATAATATCAAATAATAGTAGTAGTAGTAGTAGTAATAATAATTATAATATCAAATAGTAGTAGTAGTAGTAGTAATTATAATATCAAATGGTAGTAGTAGTAGTAGTAATAATTATAATATCAAATAGTAGTAGTAGTAGTAGTAGTAGTAATAATTATAATATCAAATAGTAGTAGTAGTAGTAATAATTATAATATCAAATAGTAGTAGTAGTAGTAGTAGTAATAATTATAATATCAAATAGTAGTAGTAGTAGTAGTAATAATTATAATATCAAATAGTAGTAGTAGTAGTAGTAGTAGTAATAATTATAATATCAAATAGTAGTAGTAGTAGTAGTAGTAATAATTATAATATCAAATAGTAGTAGTAGTAGTAGTAATAATTATAATATCAAATAGTAGTAGTAGTAATAATTATAATATCAAATAGTAGTAGTAGTAGTAGTAATTATAATATCAAATAGTAGTAGTAGTAGTAGTAGTAGTAGTAACAATTATAATATCAAATAGTAGGAGTAGTAGCAGTAGTAGTAGTAGTAATAATTATAATATCAAACATAAATGAATTATTTAAAATAAGTAAATTAAAGGGATTTTGAATAAAGAATAATAAAAAATAAAAAAATAAAAAGTAAATGGAAGTATAAAAATAATACTAAATATGTCAATTTACAATTATAGAAGATGTATACATTGGCAACATAATCATACCTCCACCTACTTATAAAAAACACAAAAGCGCGTGATATGCAATATAATCCCCCATATATATATATATATATATATATATATATATATATATATATATATATATATATGTGTGTGTGTGTGTGTGTGTGTGTGTGTGTGCATATGTATATGTGTGTGTGTGTATGTATATGAATAAATACATATACCCATATATATGACAGCACCAATAAAAAATTGCCTGCCAGTCAGTTATGTGCCATGCGTGATACACGCTTAGGCGATCATATATCTTTCGATACATAACTGACGAGGCAGATTTTTTCGCGCAGTAGGTTGCCATTCCTTTCTGCAGTAGAACTCGGTCTGTCCTGCTATTTCCTATAGCTGGGGGGAGGGAAGAAGAGGATGCATACCTTTCCCAAGGTTATTAGCACATAAGTGAATGTAATGGATTCGACAGGAATTCGAACTCAGCACTCCTATTCCTCAATCCGAGCCTCTATCCATTACTCCCCCGTGCCTCTGTGAAGTGTCGTTGAAACTAATTGTATGCCATATTTTTATTTGATAGGGGAATATTGTCACACGTTAACATCACTTTCACGTGTACATGTGTGTGTGTATGCGTATGTTTGTAAGCTGTTCCTGATGGCATTTACAATTGAGTGCGGTTCAGTGTCACAGATGAGTCAGCATGAAACTCAGCGAGAGCGTGAATTATGTTTCCAAACACCACTTTTATGATACGCCATGGACATCATACTCTGAGTTCTAGTGCCTGGATGGTGATTGGTTGATTTTGTTTAGCGGCATATCAACCACTATTGGGCATTTAATTCCGAAATCGAAATAATTTGAACAGAGTTTTACGGCTTCAATTAAATATATTTTGAACGCCTTCAACTACAAATAAAATGTATTGTTCGTATTTTTACTATAAATAAGTATTGTTTTTATAATATAATGTATTGTTGGTATTTTTACTATAAAAATGTATTAATGCATAATTACTAAATGTATTTTTCTACTTTCATAGTTTTTAGCTTCAGTATTTAGCCATAGCTGAAACCCTAACAGGTATGAACACCCCGACCTGGGAAGAACAGCAATTAATAGGTGGTTCTACGTCCATCAAAGCCTTCAAGGCCCTGATGAGAGGCCTTGAAACTGGATATAGTTTATCGTCATATCCAGGACTAGACGGTAAATGGTCCCTCATCTCTTATGGTAGCAAAAAAACGATCTCTCGACAATAAGCAGCCGATAGTATAGCGAGTAAGTATAAATTTCATGGTGAAACCATTCTTAAAATATACATCCGAACAAAAAAATGAAAACAAAATACCCCCCCCAAAAAAAACAAAACAAAAACAAAATAGATCAATAGAAAAGAGGCACTTACTTAGGTGCTTCTCACCAACTGCCATGTAATCTCTGATGTAGAAGTTTTGGTCGTCCTGCGCGGACTAAATAGACTAAGAATGACCTGCACGTAGAAAACACTCCGATGACGAAGCAATTTTCTCTTTCTCTCTCTCTCTCTCTCTCTCTCTCTCTCACTCTCTACACACAAAGACACACACACACACACACACACACACACACACACACACACACACATATATATATATATATATATATATATATGTAGAAAAATATACGGAAAAAACAAACAAAAATTCTTATATACAATTATGCTGTTTTAATGTTAATATATCAACGTCGGACGTTTCGGTCTAATAAACCATCTTCAGGACATATTCATAAAATATAATTAACATTATCAATTCAATATGACAAAGACGATGTACATAAGAACAAGACTTATCCAAACAGATAACTGTCCGACGTTGACATATTAACATTAAAACAGCATAATTGTATATAAGGAATTTTGTTTGTTTTTTCTGTATATTTTTCTTCATTCTGTTGGATCTATATCCATATATTTGCTTGCATATATATATATATATATATATATATATATATATATATATATATACTGATGTCACAATTTAATTCTCAGGATATTGAAAGCTAATGTTTCAGGCAAATATTAGCACCTGAGACGGTCTCGACATTTTCTTCTTTTGCTAGCTTGAGACGCAGGCGCATTCGTTGTCGCGCAGTAAAGAAAGCTATAGGTGCTCATGCTATACTATCTAAGGAAATTAAATTACCGGAATATGGAGCAGCAGACTAACATCCTGTTTGTGTGAAGATTGGTAAAAATACAAGTGAAGCTAACTCTCTTGTAGCATACCTACGACGATAATGGGTATGTCCCCATTAACATAAATACAGTAGTATATGCTGTATGTTGGTTTGAAGTTGGAGATTTATTGTGAAATTCTTTTGATTCACTTCTTCTACGCGCCGCTGGCGAATCTTATATGTGTTGTTCTTGTCCTAAGTATTATCGTTCATTACCAACATTCGTGTGATTATAATATTCAGTAACCATCCCTAGGTTACAACACTTTTTCAAAATGGCTAATGTTGAACAGGCGCTGAAAGAATCGAGTGTTTTTATTTTCAGTGGGAGGATAGGATTCCAGGAAGGATGAGAAAATCTGCACGATGATGTAAGAGGTGAGTATGCAGAAACCCCAAAACAGACGCAAATATGCAGTGTTGTGAAATTGGTGCTCCTGGATCGAATATTCATTTTGCGACAGATAGAAGAAATTAATATGGATATGAAATATAAATATGGCAATCGTGAATATGATTCGGTGCATGGTTAGTTGGGAGTCGTAATTTACTAGTTAATAAATCGATTACAAAATTGGTCATTAAGCATATTAACCAGAATTAGAGTCCTGTGGGTTTTGTTTATTTCCAAAACTGAAATATGCCACAAAGGGCAAAGGTTTGCTGACATCCATCAACATGACTAGATTACTGGAAGGTATTCTGGAATGTTCTTAGGAATGGCGCCATCGTGTCGTGAAATTTATGCAGTCAAAAGGAGAGTACGTTAAATGTAACAACAAATAATAATGAACAGCCATTCTGAGAATATCATACAAATACATACAGACATACATTCAGCATCTACGACCTTTTTGCAAAAACCACGGCAAAGTTTCACGCGAACAAAATCTTTACTGGATGAGCTGATATTCTTTGCACTGAATGCAAATCATCAGCTCATGTTATAAGGTTTATGTATAGAGTGCTTGACAGTCTTCCTGCGACATTGGCATCACACAAAATATTGCAAAATCTGTGAAAAAATCGGGTTTTTCGTACTACTTAAAATAAAAACTTGAATAACTTCATTTTTTAATCCGATTTTCTTCAAACATGCCACAAAAAATTGCCATCAAGCAAGAAATACGTTAGTGTGCTTTTAGCTCTGCTCGCTTCCGCACGTATAACAAAAAACCACAAAAAAACTGTTCAAAAAGCTCGTTTTTCGGCCATAACTCACTGATTTTTCATCCTATGCAATCCAAATTTGACTGTTTTACTGTTTTACAGCTCATTAGTGTGGCTAGACATCGAATTTCCTCAAGCTGGGACCGAAACCCAACTGATTTGGTATCAGTCGGAGGTTTTACCTCAGGGACGAAGGGGAATTTAGACGTATTCATTTTTAGACAAACACTCCAGTGAGTGGATGTCTGTGTGTGTGTTCGCGTGCGCGATGATGATGAGACAAAATGGAAAATTTATTGTCAAGCCTTTCTATATTTCTTCTTTATCGCCTTCTCAGCTCGACTTTCGGTAGGACGTTGCTAAATAAAGATTTAAATAATAAACTCGATGTTGGACAAAAATGTTGTTTAGGATTTTTCTACTTACTTCATTTAAATCTTTCTTCTTTCATTTTTTTTTAAATTCCAGATGAGTCTTCTTCCTCCTTCTTGGACCGGTTTTTCACTTGTTTCTTTGGTTGGTGTGAGTCAAACAGAATTTATTAAAAAACAAACACTATAGTTATTTGAACGTTTC